GATCCGGATTTTTTTCTCGCCCCAAAATTTTTCCCAGGGGAGGGGGGCCCCCGCCCCCCTTTTGGTTTGGTCACCGCCCCTCGCGGCCCTCAAAACCGCACACAAAGATTTACGCGTACCCGAACCTCCTCAAGATGAGGATTTCGTTAAAGGTGGCGGGGGCCCTTGTGGGGTTGACCTTTGTGGCCATAAACCTGGGGTTTTTGGGGTACCCCTCCCCCCAGATGGGGTACTCCCCCCCCATCCTGGCCGCGGGGGGGGGGGTCACCCCCCGGATGTCCCTGGGGGGGCCCGACCCTTTTGGGACCCTTTGGGGGGCACACTTTGGGGTTTCTTTTTTCCCTCCGTTGGCCCAGGCACGGGGAGGCCCCTTTCCAAGGCCCCCCCCCCCCCCCCCCCCGCCCCCACGCAGATGCGCGGCAAGGTGGAGGGCGAGGAGCAGCGCCAGAGCGACCGCATCATCGGCATCCTGGGCATCACCTTCTCGGGGCTGTGCATGGTCGCCGCCATTGTCCAGATCAGCCTCTACAACGGGATGGGCATGGACGAGGACAACGTGCCGATCGGAGAGACACCGGTGCGGCCCCGCGGCCGCAGCAAGCACGCGTCGCATCCAAGTGTGAGATATGCGCGTCTTCCACCTCTCGTGATCGCCCCCCCTTCGCCCCCCTCTCTCCACCTCCCGCCACCAACCTTACCTTTCCGCCCTGGCTCCCTTTCAGGGGCACTTTGTGGAGTTTTCCTTCGACTTTGTGAGGGCCAAGATCCTCTACTTTTTTTGCAAGGGGCCCCCCCCCCCCCCCTCCCCCCCACTCCCACCCCCACCCCCCTCCTCGCCACCCGCCAACGACCCAAAACCTCTGCCGCCCACACCTTAGGACAACGTCTTCCGCTGCGACCAAGAACAGCTCCGCCTCCTGACCACCAAGGACCGCGAGATTCAGATCAAGGTAGACCTCGGCGAGCTCGAGGAGTTCTCCAAGCGCCGCGACACGCTCTCAAACTCGATCGTGGAGAAGCTGGTGGAGAAGTCGCGAAACGCTTGAAATCTTTGCGAATAAGACGGTCGCCGACGTCCCTCGCACGCGGCGCGCGACAGGGCCAGAGGGAGCGGACATGCAACACGTGCGTGCGTGAGGTTGGGCTGGGGGGGGAAACCGGCTTGTTGCACGAGTATATGGGGTCACGATGTCTCAAATACGGGGTGTGGACCGTGAGTTGACCAGGGGTTGTGCGCCGGGCCCTCCTGCTCGGCTCCAGCGAGTAGACAAGTCTTGTCACTAACAGAGTAGAATTTAAACAAAACAACTCTCTCTCACAGCACACAGGCTCGACACAGGTGCGAACTGGCGTAGAAGGATCTGACCTCGGGGCCGATGTGACCAAGCGCTGGTAGCGTGGTTTTACCTCACACCCATGGTCTCACAGTGTGCCGGCAGTCGCCGAGCAGTGTCGCTCACACAAGCCGCAGCACAAGTGACTGAGGGCCAGTGAGGGCGAGCCCATCGCTGTCACAGCTGTGGTAGCCGCACAGTAGGCTGTGTCAACTGTGCAGAGCGTGTGAGCAGCAGAGGAGCTGCTCTCCAGGCTTCTGTCGCAAAGAGCTGCATGCCACCGAAAGCGCTGTCGAGGTTCGCCGAGCGCGGCGCAGGTTGGAGGACACCGTCACCGACGAGCGCGTTGGAGTATTCACTCCGGACAAAGCCGGCCACACGCACACGAGCTGCGGCCGTGTGGCCGTCATAGTGGCGAGGCGCGGGACCGTCTGTGGCGAAGTGGGTCGCGTCCTCCGATTTCCTCAACTCACGGTCCACACCCTCTATGAGCAATGAGGGGTTTTGACTCCTACCGGCTCCTGACGCTATCCCTGGCAGCTCTAATGGCCAGGATCAGTAGTGTTGTGATAGAGGGTGCCCATACTAGCGCAAGGAGCTGCCACACTCGCCCGGACGCCGGAGCCGGACCGTCCCCTTCTGGAGCAGGCGGACATCGCTTCCAGGGAGGGGCGGGCGCACTTTTACTCACAGTCAGGAGTCCCGCCCCCCCCCAGACGCCAGAGGCTTCACCACATGCTAGGGGGGGGGGATCCGACCCCCCCAAGAGGCTTCACCACATGCTAGGGGGGGTGGGGCGTGAGTAGAAGTGCGCCCCCCCTCCCTGGAAGCGATGTCCGCCTGCTCCTGGGGCCGGTTCCGCAGCCCGCGAGAGCCGACAGCGGGCCCGAACAGTCACACCACGGGTGAACCTTCTTTTCTAGACCGGAAGGATTGAGAGCAGCCTCGCTCTCAATCCTAGAAGTCGAAGGATTGTGAGCAGCACTCCTCGCAATCGTAGCATCTCTGTGCGATTGCTAGCACCCACGCTCGCAATCCTACATCTTCTAGGACTAAGAGCAGCTCCGCTCCCAAGGTGACTGGTGACGCCTACGACTACTACCAGCGCGCTCGCAATCCGAGCAAAGTCTAGGATTGCGAGCAGCACTGCTCGCAATCCTAGCAACATGCCTCCGATTGCGAGCAGTAGCGCTCGC